TTTATTTCTTACTGAGATTTTTACATTTTAGAAAATTTTTTATTAGAAATTATAGGATTTTATATATATGTATATCTTGCTATAAATTAAATTGAATTACTGTCACTTTATAAAACGATATTTTTTATATGTTTGGTCTATTTTAAAGAAAATAATTATACAAAAAGTTTGTTTAATATGGCAATAATTTTAATATACTTGCAATTAACAGGCAATATTTATTCTAATAGTTTGAAAATGAACTCAATAAAAATCAAACGGGTAAAAAAAAATCTGTTTTCAATCAAAAACAATTTGGAATCTTACAAAGTTGTTGATAATATCTTTTGGAGATAATTTAAACTTATGCGTAAAAATTGTATACGCGTGATACAATTTACGAAAAATAAAAAATCATGCATATTTCAGATACAACGCTTAGTGCTTGTGCCATCATTGCTGCATTCGTTGCTCATGTATTTGGGTCTACGAGTAAGTATACATGTACATATAACTACATTCTACACATTTATCTCTTTTATGAGATAGAGAAACCTGCCATTATTATGTAAATTTCTCGGAATTTTAATCTTCATTTTACGCAACATCGTATAAGACCTAGGTAAAGATTAATACTGCGCTTTTTTTTTTTTGATCTGACTATTGAATCGACTACTGAAATAAATATGATCTCTAATAACTCGCGATAGTAATTATAGCTCTCTGCGTGTGAAATATATGTATAATCTACAATCTGGAATATCCAGCGAAAACGTATCGCTTTTCCTTTTAAAAACTAGTAAACACTTCAAATAACCTTGTACTCTTGACATTTCAACGAGATACTTCTAATTAAGAAACACACCTTTAACAAGTTTATTCGCAATAGTCACGTTTAAACAAATTACATAATACGTACGTATGAAATAAAATATTATAGTTGAACCAAAGTGCGTTTACAAACTGGTAACTTTTAAATCAGCGTGATGGAATTTTCGCAACTGAGAGAAATTTTCCCATAAATCAATACAATGCTTGTATAAATCAGAGAAATCTTAAATTAAATGTATCAGATTAAACTAATTCTTCTCTAATTAGCAAGAATCACGCAATTATCTATCATCATTTTGCACGAATTATTTAAAGCAAATTAGACAATTTTTTAAATCAATCCTTGTGATCTACATTTCTCGCGTTGAAATGTAGCAAGTTTCCTACAATCGACACATCTGAGTTATTATAATTTTCGAGATAAAAACAATCCATTAGTGTCTACTGCCTACGATACCTGATTCTAATCGTAATATACGACCTCTCTTGTCACTTGGCGCAGAATAATGACAATGTTCTCGATCGCTTGAGACTCTGGATTTGCTCAGGAGAAACTTTGTCGGTTTCGTTGGCCGATCAATTTTTTGCTACATTTAGCAACAAGGACAAAATATTGGCAAATTTCTACGGCAGCACAGAAGTCATGGGTGACGTCACATATTACCTTTTGAGCAATCGCGCGCAATTACAAGGAATGGAGAAAGTGCCAATAGGTAAGGATAAAATTTTTATCTGCCGAATATGACTTAAGAATTGATACGTCATTAATTTTAATTAATTTTGTAATTAATTAATTTTATCAAATTAATGAAGAGATAATAATGACAATGACTTGATATCCTGTTAATATTTAAAATTCTAATGGACAGGCTATCAACTGATCATCGAATGCTAATAAAAAGGATCGTAGAAAATTATCACTGACACAACATCTAATATTGCTTAACGTACTTTTGTTGCAGGAAGGCCGATCGATAATTGCATAATTTATCTTGTAAACAAGGACATGCGATTGATCCCCCAGGGAGAAGTCGGTGAGCTGATTGTGGCAGGAAAAAATCTTGCTGCAGGTTATATACGCGGACGAGACACACATAAATTTTTGAATAATCGTTACGCTATCGATCCAGGTGAGGAAAATAAAACAAACGTAAGAATATCGGATACCGGTCTATTAAATTCGAAGAATTACACAGATTGTGGCCTGTAAATATTCTCATTCGTAATCTCTTTCGCGAGACAAAGCGATAATTAAAGGATCTTGTACATTTCAAACAAATATGCTGATTTATTTGCAGAATATCCAAAGATCTTTCGTACTGGTGACTACGCTAAAATTGTCAAAGGTTCGATAATTTACGAGGGGCGAGTGGATTCGCAGATTAAGATTAGAGGTCATCGCGTCGATCTTACAGAGATCGAGAAAATAATCGCCAAGATATCCGGTATCGATAAGGTCGTGGTTCTTTGTTATAAGCCCGGTGAACTGTCACAGGTAAATGCGTGTGCGCGTAAAGTGAAAAAAATGCTGCAAAAATTTTTTTTAATTATTTTCGAAAAATAATTCTCTCCTAAGATTCAAATATCTAGACATTTCAAAGCGTTTCGTATATAAAATTAATCTTCAATATTTCTGTTCGCGTATTATTTTGCATGTTACATAAATTCTCAATTAAATATAGATACTTTATAAATACGGCTTTTCACAGAATAGTATATAACCTATACTAACAATAATAGTATACAACTTTATAAATCTTTATATAATGTTAAGTTTTATATTTTACATTTTCTCTCAGGCACTAATAGCTTTTGTTACCGTCACTGATGACACGACTCTGTCCAGCTCGGAGATTGAAAGTTTTCTCCAAAGAACGTTAGCGCCATACATGTTACCGCAAATATTTATTATTGATCACATACCTCTTTTAATCAATGGAAAAACGGATCGACAGACATTGCTAAAGCAATATGAATCATTTTGTCCTAATGATGGTACGTCGAATTAGCGATTTTATATCATTTTATCAAGCAAAATATCATATGTACACCTCCTTGTCCTATAAAGTTTCACGACGTAAGTAATTAACATTAATCATCCATGAATATATTAATCAAATTAACATCTTTATAAGTATTTAAATTTTTAGATGTAAAAATAGAGATATTACAAGATAATTGTCATGAATTCATAATGGAATCATAATGTGAACCAGTTCCAAGATTTTTTATATCTTTTCCATTCCTTTCTTTACACATCATATTAGCATCTCATCTCGTATTTCTCATAAGAGATCAGAATAATTATTCTAATCTCTTCTGTAATTAATAAAATAAATTGCGATAATCTGGTAAAAAGAAAATGTAGAATAAGAAAAAATTCATTTTATGATATCTTATCTTTTATCGAGCAATTAAATTTCGTGCATATTATTTCAGCAAGTAATTACTCTTGTATTAAAAATAAAAGAAATCTTTTTTTCTAAGAAAGAATAAAAAAATCCAAATATTTTTAAATTATAATCCCTCACGGAAAAAAAATGCTGTTGCTTCAATTAAAGTCTACGTCACGGGCTGCCAACAAACATATGTAGTTCATTCAATGATATTTTTATTGAATCAAATATTTGGATTATTAAAACAATTATCCAGATATTTGATCTAATAAAAATATCATTGAATGAACTATATATGTTTGTTGGCAACCCGTGACGTAGACTTTAATTGAAGCAACAGCATTTATTTTCTCGTGCTCTTTCTTACTCTTTCAAATATTAGAAACTTGAATGCCCAGAATAAATCATAATTCGAGATTTTATTAAATTAAATAAATCAAAAAAAAATTTCTTCTGAAATTTTATTTTTATCGCAAAAGATTTATTATTAGCTGACGCTTGCTAAGTTTATGGAAAATTCTATTCTACAGAAGATGACGTTGCTGCGAATTGCGATTACAGCGGCGTATCAGATCAAGATCTTGCAAAAGCCCGAGTTCTTTTTCCGACTGTCGCATCCGTAATCGGACGTAATGGTAGTGCGCTAGTGACCCTGCATGCGAATTTCTACGAGCTCGGTGGAAATTCCTTAAATTCCATTTACACCGTGACCAAGTTAATGGACCAGGGTTATCAAATTGGCATCACGGATTTTATCACAGCAAAAGATCTGGCCGAAATACTGGACCGCATGAAACTTATATCTTCTGACGAAAAACCTCTGAAGGAGACACTCGACCAGAAACCGTATATCTTTGAAACGTTAAGCGATTGTCACAAGGAGGACGCGATCGAGTGAGTACGTGCGTATACAGGCAGGAAATGATCACAACATAAATATATTTTAATATTTGCAGAATAATCACAGAGAGCTTTTATTCGAAAGCCGATTTGGAGCAATGGTTAATACCGGACATAATGAGAACCGATTATCGGGAACTGATGGAAATTATGTGGAATCCTCTCGTAGAGAAAGGCTTGAGCTTCGCGATAAAATCGGCGCAGAATGGCAAAACGATCGGAGTTACCCTTAATTTTGATCTTTGGGACGAGCCTGAACTAATACTGAGCTCTAAATTAATGATTATATTCGATTTTCTCGAGTATCTTGAAAAACCGATTAGAGAAAACAAATTACCGAAAGGCAAGGGCAAAATAATACACAATTCCATGATGTCAACATGCAGCGACTTGAATTTCGCGGAAAACGTATTAGTGATGCGACAGATGGAAGAATACTGTTTACAACTCGCTCAACAAAAAGGATACGTCGGGATTTTTACTACAAATACCAGTCCCCTCACTCAGGTAAACGATAAATTCAAAAATTAATTCAAATATCTTTTATAACAATTGAGCCCACTTTAAATCTCTATAATTCATAAAATATCAGACAGAATTCTATTTATATAATTTGATGTGCTATATATTTTAAAATATTTATATATCCTGATATGTATTTTGTATAATACGTATTTTACTTTTTATAGCTTTTTCTATATCATACATAAAATTGTACCGAACTTTGTTGCAAATTATAAATAGAACATCATATAAAATTTAGCATAAAATAATTAAATAAAATTCTGTCCCGAATCTTATTGCGTTTAAAGCGGGCTTCAGTTACTAATGTAGAAAGTATTTATTATATGGATATATATATATATATATATATTATATATCGCTGAAAGAATTATTAATTTACATTTTTATCTAAACTTTATGCAGCAACTTGGCATTGACGTATACGATTATGAAACATTGCTGTTATACCAAGTGAATCGATACAAGACACCTGATGGAAATAAACCTTTTGGCAAAGCCCCCGACAGTCAAGTAGCAATTTGCTCATTAAAAATGATTAACTAAAAGGATTTTAATAAAAAAAAAGTATTGGTTCCAAGTATTGTAAGCATCATCTCTGTGATCTTTCATCGACACATTCATAATTGTTAATAATTCATTATGACAAGGCTTTATTTCTTTTCATTCATTGTTAATAATTCATTATAACAAGAATTTATATCTTTTCATTCTTTCACATCACTTTTTGTTATTTTCCATAAATATCAGCAGCAAACAATATATCACAAACAATAATCGCGTAACTGAACGACTATCTATATTGTTTGTTACACGCATAATGCAATTATTGTTCCTTCATTATCATTTCATTTTCTTGATAGACTAAAAAAACTTTAGAATCTTAGAATTAATCACTTTAAACGGATTTGTATCTATTTATTAATACTTGTCATATCTATCTGTATAAAAAAAGTATGGTATAATTTTCTAGCTTTATAAAATTTTTGTCGAAAACGCATAATTATCGAAAAAATCGATAATTATGTTATCTGATCTTTAATATTAAAGAACTGTGCATTTAAAGTAAACATAAAAGTACGTATTTTAATAAAAGATCACACATTATGATAAAAATAATATTCATAATAGACTTAATATAAAATTTTGAAATCCGTTTATGCAAATTATTACCACATTATTAACATTATTTGATATATTCAAACTATCTTCCGCATAAAGACTGTTGTAAAAATCAACGATAAAAGTATAACAAATTAATTATTACATTAATGCAATATATGGATTATTGCATTTCTCAAAACAATGATAATTATTACATTAGAGCTTCTTTTATATATATTATAATACTTTGTAAAATACAATTTATGCGGATTGTTTATTTTTTGCACAAAAATAAATACATAACGAATATGATACCTTGGCAAAAATAGAGATATGTAATGATAAATTTGTACATTTTTGTGCATAGGCATATATATGCAACAGTTATAAAAATTGTAATAGCTACTATTGTTAGAATATAATTTGTAGTTATTATTATTACGCTTCATCACAATGATTAAACAGTTAGATTAACAAAAATTGTTACATAAATATTTATGTATCGATTATATATTGATGATGTATCGAGCTTATAATTATTATAATGTGATATTAAGCGCATTTCATAAAAGCTGTTCCATAAAATTTTTCTAATATAGAACTTTTTTGCATATTACTTACATTTCTAATATAGAAATAAAATAGTAATTTGAATAAATTACTCTAAATCGTGATCTAGATAGCTTTTAGAAATAAATAGAACAAAACAATTAATTATTGATTAATCATTGTGAAATTGTTGATTAATCATAGTAAAATTGTTGCACGGACAAACGTATCGTTTTTATTTCATATAAACAAAATAGTGTATAAGTGAAAACGAAACAATAAATTAAATAAAAAATTTGATTACAACAAAACTTACAACTCTGATATATATATATGTATATATATATAATTCAGTTATATTCGTTATTCATGAGAGAATCTTTACTATTTTGAGTCACAATTTCAAATTTAATTTGACTTTTAAAAAAATCTTTAAATTGGAAATATATTAAATATTAATAAAAAAACAAAAATTAAATTGGTTTTAAAATATTGAAGAACTAGATAATACAAACATTATATGTAAGAGAGTAAATATGTATGTACACATTCATATATAATATATTATATTGAATGATTCTTTTATCAAATTTTGATAGCATATCACTAATATTTTAGCTGTTAGGATTAATTTTAATGACAAATTTCCCAATAAATATATCTTTTTTGCGCGAAAATGTGAAAATACTAATAACTTTCTTTTTAGTTATATTTCTCAAAAATAGAAATAGTAAAGTATACATCTGTCTCATTTTAAATAAAACTTGAAATTCAGAAAGTACGTGTTACGTGCAGATTTCCTGTTTTCCCTTCTCCATCTTCTACAGCTGATTGCAACTGACAGAAGTGTCGACTGTTTAAACATAACCTCACAATTTCCATTTGTGTGCGTATATTAAATAACTTTTTTGCATTGGAAGTTGGAAACACCCTCAATAAAAAAAAATATTCTGTGATAAGACAATAGCTGACATATTTTAATTAGATAGATAATTTGCTATTAGATTGACAGTACTTATAACAATGCAAATGTAGAATATATTATCAAAAGAAAATATAATAATATATAATAATGTCATATTATCAAGGCATAGAGAATAATGAGTATTTTAATATATTGATTTAAACAGTGTTATTATTGTTAATTACTTGTAAAAAGAATCCACAAATGGCACCGTTAACGGATTTACTTTCTTGTAGTATAATAGGTATAAAAACGTAGCTTTCTATAATAAAACAATAAATAATATAAATATATAAATGAACTATTTTTTCATGTGCGTTACCAAATATTTGCATTGTTTAATATGCTTAATCCAAAATAAAAATTCTAGAGAAAGACTGCAATGGAGATATCTTGTGGACATGGTCGTATCCTGCAGTAACGGAATCTCAGAAGACTGTAGTTACAAGAAAATGCAATATGAAATTGGAACATAGTTCTCCTCATGTATTTGTATGTGCAAGACACGGCCATGATTGGTTTTATATACATTGCAGTGAAGTATTCGATTCTGATAAATTACCAAAGGTGAGTATCTATATAAGAGTTTCTATCTCTCTCGTTAAAAAAAGCATTTTATCATACATTCAAGCATTTTCATATCTTGCGATTTTCATAATTATTCCAGGTAAAACAGTTCGCATTGGTTCTTTTTGCAAAGGACTTTAATCCACAAAAGTATGAAGTGCTGTCACGAGTTCTTAGCAAGATGTATTGCAAAACAGGAAAACCAACAGAAATCCTGCAATTATATCTTTCTGTATTCACAAAAGGATCGTGTTCAACACAAGAGAATGGAACATTTGTCTCCGATGATTTTAATACTCATCGATTTGCAGCTAGTACTAATATCAAAGAACTGATTAAAACATTCGAATTAGAAACAATTTTGATTTATACCGCTCTCTTATTGAAAAAAAAAATCATTATATATCATCACAGCTTGGAGCAACTTCTTAAGTGGATAAGAACATTCCCTGCATTAATGAAACACAGAAAAGTTACTGACACCCTGGATTGATTTAGTAAATGACGAATTGATTGAATTAAAGGTATGTGTCCTATAAAAGATGATATCTTTGATAGTATGAAATTATAGATAAAGTAGATAATTTCATTATTCAAAATAGATTGCATAAACCTCAATATATTATTCTTAATTATTATTATTGTTATGCTATTATTATAGTTATTAATTAATATATATTAATATAATTAATAGATATTAATTGTTTTGTTATTCAATTATTATTGTTGCTACATATAGAGATATTCACACTATGTGGCGGGCTGCAGCAATAGCTCAATATCGTCAAGAACAGACCTGTA